AACATCTTACAACATCCTTATCCATATATAAATAGACTTAACAAAAATACAACTACTTATAAAATAATACAACTGCTTAATAAATTTCAGCTAACTTTTATAGCTAACTTTAATATTCTTAGACCTTACACAATTCAACATCCATATACACCAATTGAACAATTTTTTACTATACATAAACTTTATATACAATTTAAAAAATAACTACATACTAAAGAAATAATGTATCTTGAACAACTAACATTACATGATAACTTTGTATTACTTGACTAGAAATATATATCTCCAAGAATTCAACATATACCTAAAGATTATAAGCTATTATGGTTTACTACTTTAGAAAACACAATCATCACTAATCATCAATCCAGATTAATTAGTTTCCAATTACAATTATCTTATACTAATTCTATCACATTCACTACTGGACACTACAAAAATACATCCAAACCTTGAATAATTGCTTATGATCATAAACATAACAATATTACTATAGCAAAACAAGAAAATACAACCAAACAGAAGACACAATTTCCATAACATATTGGCTAATTGACTTTGATATCTCACATACTTACCTATACTCTTTAGTTAACTACATCTGTAAATAATGTACAGAGTGCTACCTTAATTCTAATCATATACAAAACAAATGTATATTTAATATTCTTACCAACTTTATAACCAAATTCCTAGGCAGAAAAGTTAACTCCAATTCCTCTAATTTCTCTATCATACTTAATCTTCATGCAAATCTACTTGACCTATTATATTCTATTGCACTATGAAACCCTACTACAAAATCTCTACAATCTAATATCATTATATACAATAATGCTATATCTAACATCTTTGTACAAAATCAAGCTACAGAAATTCTTCAACAAATTATACAAAACAACTCATACTATTCACAGTTTACATTTTATACTGATGGCTCTTTAAGCAATATTACTAATAACAGATGCAAAATAGGTATTGGTTGAATTCAAACCCAAGATAAGACTATATTGCATCAATACTCAGCAGAAATTAAATTTTGGCTCTCATTATACAAAGCAGAACTTACAGCAATCCTCTTTACTGTTAGCACATGCCTAAAACAGAGCACTATTACTATTTATACTAACTCATAATCAATAATTTCCAAATACAATAAGCTTACACAGTTATTACCTACACCTAACAAAATATACTCTTTATTTACTAGTCAATATGACACATACTTCTAAACTTTATTACTGCATATCAAATTCAAATTAATTTCTAAAAAGTAACTGCACATAGTAGTAATATGTTAAATGAGATAGCTGACAAACTAGCTAAAAACCAAAACCAAACACATATACTTAATCTTTTTTATACCAATATATACAATCAATCATATTATTTTTATCATAACAAATATGTCATAAAATAACCTACATGTAAAACTATTAAAAATATTAGTAATATTTACAACATAGCAATGTAGTCTTTTTAACATCAGATGGAAAACATCCTTTCTCTATCCTTACAAATCAACTGGAATGTTACCTGACTTTTCTTTAACAACAATCACAAAAGATCTATATCTTATACCAGTTTTACTTTATGCCAAGAAAAAACATTCAAAATCAAGCTGATGCTAGAAATATGACCTACATTATCTCTCTTTATTCAACAACATATTCTAATTTTAATTGCATTTTATACAATATATATGATAGTCAGCTATATTGGCTAATCTGTTCAAACTCACTTATATTTAACTCAACTATTACCAATATGATACAACAATTCTTTAATTATTCATGACTAGATATAACAACTACACAACTATAAGAACTACACAATAAATTTACCAATCATTCATGTCTTTCTCCAAACAATCTTACTAGAAATTATACAAATATATATACAACAATACAAGACTTTGTTTCATTCTTACTAATTAATACTATATGAGAATATACAATTAGCAATCAGCTAGCAACTGACATTAAAATAAAATTTCTAATTCAATTATCACAAAATATCTACAACCAAATTTGAAAGCCTTATTGCATCAAACTATCTAAATGGAAGCAACAAAACAATATTCCTAACTAACTATCAGTAACCAACAAATAAACTATACAAACACATTTAGATTCTTAATACAAGCCAAAACAGTATATACTTACAGTTACACTTGTAGTCTTCCTAACCAACAACATACTGGGGACTTTTACAATTCTTATATTTGCCTATTACAAGAAAAAGCTAATAAAAAACTAACTAAATGGATATCTGAATGGATAAACTATAGTACTCCAACTAATCATATTTTATATTATCAAATCTAGATAAGTTTAACCACTCTAGTAGGTTTAGGTTGCAGATAAATTAGATAAATTAAATAATAATTTCATCTATAGTCTGAGTCTCATTTTTGTAAAAAATTTGTAAATTGGCTCCAGCCTGTGTCAACTTATGTAGTTGCTTATAACAAATTATTAATAAAGATAAAAGCAAAACCTCATCTTATTACCAAAAAATAAATAAATAAATAAATAAAAGACTTTAATAAGTCTTCTATTAAAATAAAATAGTTTTAAAAATACTAATAAAGACCAAAAACTTAAATAAACAATGTTCTAAAAATATTTTTATAATATAAGTTAAATTGTATTACAACAGATTTAAATAGACAAGATATTTAGTTAACTTGCAAGTATAGAATCTAGTATAAAATCTGCATAGTAATATATAGATAGACATTTTAAATTAAATATTAAAAATATATATGTAACTAGCTATAATCTTTTATATAAGAAAAGCTCTTGAAGGCTTTATGTTTATAATAAAATTACTTATTAAAAATAGAAATTTTAATATAAAAAAAAATAAAAAAAATAAAAAAATATTAATTATAAAAAGGTTTGAATATAAAAAAATTAATTATTTATATTATATAAATAAAAAATATATATACTAATATAATATATATATAATTTAGTATATTAGTATTAAACTAATTAATATAATATAATTTAAAATAGATCATATATATTATATATTAATAAATTAATATAGTTAGTCTACAAGCATATATTAAAATTTATATATCTATTATAAATTAAAAATATATATATTAATATACTTACTCTAAAGCAAAAACTCATAAAAATTATTTTATATAATTACAAAAAATATTTTAATATATACTAAAAATAATTTTATTATAATATAAATTTAGTTACAATTTTAATTAAAATATATAATATTTAATATTTATAAAAAATTAAGTTATATTAGCTATATAGAAATTACAAAAATATAACAACAAGTAGTTATTCTTTATTCAAAATATTAATTAAAAATCTACTTGGCTCTATTTTAATTATAACCAAAAACTTTTATACAATATTACTAATTTTAGTTTTAATTAACTAAAACCTTTTAAAAATTAAAATTCTTCAAAATAAAGCTAATATATTTATTATATTATAATATTTATCTAAACCAATACTAGATACTATTTATTTTTATTACAACTTGCCTAATTTTATTCCTACTATAACACTTGTGCTAACCTATCCTTGCTTAATTAAATTATTATTAACAATTCATTTAATATTAATACTTATTACAATATAATATAATTAATAATATTTTTTATTATTTAGCTTTTAATTTATTATATATATTATTTAACACATTCTACTTTAACCTTACTTCAAAGAACTTATTTTAAAACTACTCATATTGGCAATTCAAAATTTTAATATTTTATATAAAATCATTTTTTAAGTTATTATTTTTTTTAATATTAATAAATAATTATATAAGTAATTATAAAAAACATATTGTATTTACTTTTTTAACTAAAAAAAACAACAAAATAAACCTTAATTCTAACACATTAACAAATTTTTAATATTATTTAAACTAGCCACTAGATATATATATTCTTGAAAAAATTATACTTATATTTTTATAAACTTCTTAATCAATTATATACTTATTTTAACATATAGTTTCTTATTGGCCAAACAATTTACAAAACTAATATTTTATTTATTTTATAAATCAAATATTATATATTATCAAATTATATACTAAATATCTAAATTTTAATAAGCTTTAACCACTCTAGTAAGTTTAGTTTGCAGATAAATTAGTTTGGGCTAGCAAGACAGAAATTCATTTTAATTGGCTGTAATCTGAAAAATCAACAATGATCAACTTTCTATTCTGATTAGCCAATTTAGTCCTATGATCTGCATTACACATTTTACAGAATGCCACAGAAATCACAGATAACACAGAATTTTTACAAATGCATAGTAATAATATATAATAATACTGTAATTATAATAGCACCAATAATGAAAAAAAATATGTAATAGTAAAATAAATCAAGTTAGCATTGTTATAAAAGTATAATGCTGGAGTTGATGTTAAATTGATATATACAAATCAAGTTGGCAATTGTTAAAGATATCAATATGCTAAAGACATTTAAGAAAAGATTGGGGTATGCTATATTTTTTTTTTATACTTATTATTTTACTGAGAAAGTACTTATTCAGAACATTTTCTAAACATAGCATAGCTTTATACTGGCCATTGTATCAAAATGGAATTGTGTTAAAGACATTTAAGAAATTGGAGTACACTGGCACTTAGTGTTGTTAGCCAGCTTAGTTATTGACTAATATCACACAATTTTGAACAATTAAATGTATATTGCATATTTCTATATATTTTCATTATTCAAAATTATGATCTTAGTCAATAACTAAGCTGGCTAACAACACTACTAGTGTTAGATTTTTTTTATTCTTATATATTTTATTATTATAAAATATTTGAAATATACAATGACAACTAATATATGTTTTTTTCATATATATGAATAAAAAAAAACTTTTTTGATACATTTTTCTTGTATTTTATTACTTGTGTACATATTTGTTATTTATATTAGTGATATCACCTGTTGTATTTTTTATGCCACTGCTATCCTTACTACTATGAAAAGAAATAAGGGTTCTTGTTCTATACAAAATTGTAGCAGAAACTCTACTATGTTTTGAAAAATTACCTTTATTGCATATAAAAAAGCACAAACCAAAGGAATATTAGAACAATATGATAGTCTAGAAATTGGGAAAGAAATATGTTACAGTTATTATTTAGACATTGTTGAGCCTGATCGTAATTTAAAAAAAATATCCAGTTGAAATAAAAAAAACAAAAACTCAGAAACCTGAAGCAAACATTGATAATAAACTGGTTGCACATTGTAATATTCAGAATCCTGAAGCAAAGATTGATAATAAAACAATTGTAGATTGTAATACACAAAAATTTTTATTAAATAATAGTCTTTTATTTGCAGACCAGGTTCAAATACTTACAAAGATTCTTTATAAATATCAATGCAATAAACCTGCTTTTATTGAACTTAGTTTTGTATGTTTTTAACTAATGATAAAGAATGCTAATTCTAATTTGCATGAATTTTTTGATCAAATAGTTAGGGCACTAATTCCTAATAAAAGATCTACATATAAAAAAATAGAAACAAAAAAAACTGTAGTTAGTTTTTGTTACATGATGGTTAATGCAAGGAATATGTTTGTTAATAGTTTTGAAATAGAGGTTGGTTTGTATCTTTCAGCATCTGAAACATCATCTGTGGCTATTAATCATTGCATAATTTGGGTGTTTCTGTATATAGTAAAACAATTAATAATTACAAGAAAAAACTTGTTCAAGATCATCCTCAAAGCATTCAAAATTATTTTGCAAATAATGATAATATGATTTTTATTTTTATTTTTTTTAATTTATTTTTATAAATTTAATCTTTTTATTAATTTAGAATAATGTTTTATATGTTTATAATTTGAATGATTATCATAATATTCATGAAGAAAGATGATCTAATGCAATAACACTATCAATGCTCTTGCATTTTGTGACATGTATTTGCAAACTAGTAAAATTATGTGCATCAATTCCTCTTATTTTTAATAATGCAAATATTCACAATCTACTAAATATTGATGTGAGTAATATTTGTTTTAGGTTAATACATCAATATAATTGAATTTTTGACATTTCATATAGAGTACAAAGACTACAATAGATCACATTTGGGGGTCTAAAAATTAATTGTAATAATATTGAATTATTAACAGTTCATGTTTATAATGATGCAATAAGTAAGTAAAAAGAAAAATGATCTACAAAAGATGTATGATTAATCGAATTTCAAGAAAAAAATTTGCATTCTATGTATAACTATATTAATGCACTTCAAATGATATTAATAATTAATAAAGATATTGTGCACTTACATAATTGTGTAGACCTATTGTAGCAGATTGGCCTGGTCAGCTTTTTATTCAGAAGGCAATTACAAATTTAAATAAATCTTTATTTAATATTCCTCGTAAAATTAGTTCATTTATTCTACTATTAGGATCATTGCACATTTCTTTAAATAGCTGAGAGCATATTATAATTATATATGATTTTTTTTTTAAAAAATTGTTTCATTTCGTTTTTGGCAAAAATAAAAAGTTAGCTAAGAAACCTAAATTATGTGAATTAACCTATTACTAAAGTTAGCATATAGTAGTTAGTGTAAAATTAGAAAAAAGATTATAGCAAAATTTGGTTTAAATTATAAAGATATTGAATACTGCACAGCTTTTGATCTTTTAGATAATTTAATTCCAACCATATTAAAAGTATATTCTGTTCTTTTTCGGTCTGGCTCATTTAACAAATATATTAAAACAATATTTCATATTTGAACATTTATGTTATGATGGCATCATTATAATTATAACAAAGCACTACTCGCATTTTTATCTGATATTTTTTATTGGCAAGATACTAACTATCCATTTTTTGAAGCATTTAAACTTTCTTTAGTAAATTTTAATAAATACTATGTTGAGAATTTTCATAGCAAAATTCATGTATAAACTTCTTCAAACTTGACAGCTGAAAATATTATAAGACAAGCTTATGTAATTGGTATGTACTTTAATTATTTATTTTGTTTTGTCTCTTATTTATGAATATATTATTATAAAGAATATAAACAGATATTGTCCTTTTATCATCAAGCAACCTACGCAGTTGATGAGCATTAGATTTTCAATTATTTTCTTCTTTTTTTTTTTTTTTTAAACTACAAATCATTTTATCAAAACTAGTAATGATGCAGAACAATTAACAATATTGTATTAATTTAGTATAAAAACTACAAATTACATTGTTATTGTAACAAACTATTTCTATATATATATGTGACTGTTGTTTCAACAGGTTACAATTTTATGACTGCTGTTTCAGCAGACTAATCAAAATAATATTACACTTTTTGAGATGGCAAAAGGGTCAGTGTAATCTAAATGAAAGTCAGGTTTATAGAAAAGACTATAGCAGAGACAGTACCCAATCCAAAATGAATCCCTCTTATCTGTGATCAATCACAAATTAAATTATTTATATTGGAATCAATTGTGATAGATATAATCCCTCATTAGTTTTAATATATATGTAATATTAATGGTCTTTGCTGTTAGAAAAGACAGAATTAACTTATACTAACTCCTCAAGTTTACTAAAATACTATGATTTAACTACCTTATGCTTATTTAATTGACTCATATTTACTCAATTGCCTAATACTTATTTAATTATTATATATTCACTAAAAAAAACAAGAAATTTTAAGCATACATTATAATTACTTAACTAATTACTACATACCAACAACTCTAACTACATATTCTTAAGATCGATCGAATATTTAACATGTTATGATTAACATCATATGAGTGAAATCACTCAAAAATTGCATTTTTTATAAATGTGTTACAATTTGATTGGCTAATATTGAATGATCAATAATTTCACATACCCAATCAAAATGAATTTCCATCTTGCTGTTTGGGCTTTTATTTTTATATATAATTTTTAATTTATTTATTTTATACAAATAGTAGTAGCTATATAGTTAACAGTTTAATAGTTAGCTCTAACTGTATTTGTTAGCTTTAACTATAATATATATATATATAATTATTATTATTTTTTGTTTTTTAAGGTGACCTCTTTGGTCTTTTGACTTTTATTAATTTTTATTGATATTTCAATTCAATGAACCACTACAAAAGAGCATACAATTGGCTATATATATAACTTTTCTATATTACTTATTTAAGAAGTTTGCTCAAAGTTCTTCTCCAATTGTCATATCTAATACTTCTGCTTGGATATTCTACTTTAAACTCTCTGAACCTGAATCTGTGTTAACTTACTAGGTCATACTCAGATGCTCAGATCATCATCTTAACCTTAGGACTAATTTATTCTTAAAGTAAACTCTCAAAGCCTTCTGTACTTATTTTTATAGCTAACTTAGATATCACTATGGCAAAACCAACATTTGCAGTCAGAGCTTAACTATTAAACTGCTATGCTCTTATAGAGTACACTCAGACTCTAGCATCTACTTCATAGTATTACCCTAGTACTTTAGTATACCTTTAAATTTTATCAGACTTCTAATCCAAATAGCCTATATAGGACTATAACTAGTTTATTAATATATTAGATTAGACAAATATCTTTTTCTTTTGATTTGTTTCAATAGCCTTGTTGTTGGTATCTCTGAGACTTCCAACTCAGAGGTTTTTGCTCATCTGGTTACTAAAATATGAGTATCTGTTTTTTCAGACTAGTCTTTACAGTAACATCATTAAAGATTCAACTGCCTCTCTACTTAGATTTTCTCAAATGGACTTTTTTTATCTAATTTCAATGGATTTATATAGTACAAAAACTTATCTAGTGTTTGCACTATTTGATTTGTCAGTTTGCATTTTTTTGTATAACTTCAACATTGCACAGATGCTTCATGACCTGCCAGTCATATTGGTATAACTGCTACTATAGGTATTTTAACTCAATCATTAGTAACAGTTGCTATAATATGAATATTATATAGGTAATTATTCAAATTTTTGCTATCAATAGGATTTGAACACTTAACCTACCACTTGGAGGGTTAACAACCTGATTACTTCACTAGGTTACCATATTCTTATATATATATAATTATTTTAAATTATAATAAAGATATAGGCAAGGTTTTATCTTAATACTAAAAAAAAAATTAAACTAAAATTTTATTTATTTTTGTTAAAATTTTATTATAATTAAAAAAAATGTTTTAACTTTATTTCATATTATTCTTTTGAAGTTTTGTTCATAATATACTTTTTATTATTAATATAAGTTATAATAATTAATCTTAATTATAGTTAATAGATGTTGTTGACAAACAAATCACAAAACTAATATACCAAAACATTATTATTAGTAGAAAAATATTTATAAAACTTATTAGTATGAATAATAGCAAAAGAATTAGCAAAACATTTAAATAAATAAAAAAAATAATATAATTACAAAAAAATTAGTTATAAGTTTTATAAGAATTATAAGCAATTTTTAAAATTATATTATTTTTAATACATATTTACTAGTATTTGCTAATTTATTATAGAAATACAAAGATAGCAACCAGGGTGTGGCAACCTAGTGAAGTGGATAGGTTGTCAACCCCCAAGTGGCAGGTCTAGAGTTTAAATCCCAGTGACGGTGAAAATTTGCAATTCTTTCTGTGTTATGGCTAACTGTCTTCTGTAATTGGTTGGGATAGGATACCTGTAACCCATGTCATACCAGCCTGACTGGAAGGTCTAAGGCACTCATACAATGTTGT